ATCGAGTCTGGACCAGACAATCAAGTGATTGATATCATGAGCATCAATCCACGCAATTGGGATCGATGACATGCTTCAACCAAGTCAGCGAGCCTGACCATCCGATCCCGTTAGTCGCCTTTTACGACAAGCAATGTCTCCTTTTTGATATTATCTGGTCTAACATAATTGTCCTCTGTCACGAACAAAAACATCCAGTGTATAATAATCACACTGATATTTTTGCCACAACAACGAATAATATTAGAAAGCTGGGTGAATTTTGCAGTGTGGAAGACTGAGTTTTTTTTTTTTGGGGGGGGGGTATTTATTTCGAAAAAAATCTTTATTTCTGTATAAACTACCACCAAAGACAATAAATAGATCTTAATTGTGCACACCCCCCCCCCCCCCCCCCCCCCCCCCCCCTTTGTATCCGCCCATGGTTAGGTAGGGAGAATTTACGTTTCAGGGTTTTACATTTGTTATGAAATAATTTAACTTTCTGGTAGACAACTACACAAAAAGTATATAATAAATAGGATATTCCATATGTCGAGTGAACTGTCATGTTTCTCTCACCTCGTGACCGGGGGAAAAGGAGATATTTTTACTCGTGAAAATAAGATAACCATGCAGCACAATGTTGAAGTGAAAGCATTCGGAAGCGTGCATACAGCTTTGTTTTCTTGTTTTAGAGTTTGTTTTAACTGACTTTCATTTAACGTGTGCCAAAGAAATAACTACCCAACAATTAATCAGATTTATTATATAGTTTTTATTTGGTAGTTTCCGGGACAATGTCCTGGTCAAAATGTAGCCGCAAGAGGAAATGAAAACTGTTCAAAGTGCAGATGTCAAAACTATTGAAGCGCATGAGTGCCACAGTCTAAAATGAAATAGATGATAAACGTAGATGATAGTGGCATCTACGTAGAAGATACTTTAATCTACGTAGATGATACTTATATCTTTGGAGAAGATACTGTAATCTATATATGTGATATAATCGTACACATCGTTGCTCATACAGTGATATTGTCTTGTGAAGTTCCGACCCTAGTTGGATACTAGTCCGATATTAGTTTATGCAAACATTTATATTTTAAGTATGGGTGATTACTTACTTACTGTTAAGTTATCTACATGTATGGGATAATGTTGGTCGTTTAATTCATTTGGCCATTTCCGTATTTTACAACATACTGAGATCTTTTCAAATTTTTAAACTATCAGTGCTAAAATAAAAATACAAACTGCACAATTGTACCTTCGGTCTTCAATCGGATGATGAGTATTAGCTTCATATAGTTTTTTATAGTTTGCGTGATTCTCACCCCTTGATATTCACGTTCTACCTCTTAAACCTAATTTCCGCAATGGAGAAACAATGAGAATAAATATTTTCGAGTGATTTCTCCGACTGGAACCATGTTGTGATTGATATATTATTTCGCTAAAATTTTGAATAATTATCTGTAGTTTGTCTGGAGAACATTTTGTGCTCCGCTCTCTTTATTACGGTTGTAAGAGAGTGCGGTGTGTCATTCTTAAGTAATTTCGACACTTTGAAGGGAAGATTTAATGTATTTTAATGTTTAGATAGTATCTCAATAAAGACATGTCAAGATAGAAAGTAAAACAAATCGGTCATTATTAATTAAACCAGGGGTTATATATAACTGACAGTAAATGACACTATCTTCTACGTAGCTTATAATATCATATGTGCAGATGAAAGTATCTTCTACTTAGATGGCTCGTCACGATATGGCTGAAATACTGCCGATGTGACGTTAAATCTTAACTCACTTCTACGTATATATAGATGTGAGTAGTACATCTACGTATGTGAACGTATTGTATGATATTTTACTGTGGCACGAAAACGCTTCCATACTTTTCAAATTGTATAATTTTTGTCTTCCTTTCTGTTGAAAGTACTTTCTTTCCCAACCCTAACACAAACTCCAATATCTTAAATTGATATTGATACTCATATGTTCAAGAAAGTTATTTTGAAATCCACATTTGACTTCTTTTTATATAAGCTTTGCGGAATATATACGTGTCGAGGTGAGGTGAGGTGAGGTGAGGTGAGGTGAGGTGAGGTGAGGTGAGGTGAGGTGAGGTGAGGTGAGGTGAATTGGGGTTTAACATCGCGTCCAAGATTATTGCACCTATATAGCGACGTGCAAACACGTGTGTGTGTGTGGCTGCTTTTACTAGTCCGGACTGATGTCGATTTTATAGTGCTAGCTCACTGAGATACCATGCCGCAGTTTAACATGATCATGAATACCCCATTCAGACACAGTGTGCTGACCAGTCCTTGTTTTAGACTGCGGATGCGGTCGTATATGTACGTAAAACACAACAGAAAACCCTTTGATCCAAGAGTTATGTAATATGTATATGTCATGATAATATATGACATGACACAATTAGGCATTTGTCTGTAAGAGAAGACATCTGATGTAGTAGTCATGACGCATGACAATGCAGGACGTGTACTGAAATTTGTATATACGTTATCGCCTGGAGATACTCCAGACTGTAATTATGGAAATGTTTTTCTTATTTTAACAGAAAATGATTATAATTTAATACATATATATATTTTTTTCATTTTTGGCATGTTAATTTTTTAAACTACATTAAACATGGAATTCTATTGTTCAGATGTGTGAAGCATTTCTATCAAATTATACTGAATATTGCTTATGTTTATGATAGTTTGGGGATTTAAAAAATAAAATGTAATCATAGAATGTATGATTGTGTTTGTATATATTTACTCTAAATATATTGTGTATGGGTTTCTATTGCACCCCAATTGCTACATGCTGCTTGAGTAAGAATAAAGTTCTCTTCAGGAACACAATAGACTTGTTGTCTATAAGTACCTGTATCATTTGGCATCATGGTACAGGTAGTCCAGGTGTTCGCTCCACTACCGCTTATCTGAAGCACATGCTGGAAAATAAATGACCTTAATTCCAAATTCCGAACAGGAAGTTTACCCCCCCCTTCACAATGCATCCTGCCCGTGAAGATTTCGGGGTAGAATAGGTCTTCAGCAACCCATTCTTGTCGTAAGAGGCGACTAGCGGGATCGGGTGGTCAGGCTCGCTGACTTGGTTGATGCATGTCATCGATCCCAATTGCGTGGATCGATGCTCATGTTGTCAAACACTGGATTGTCTGGTCCAGACTCGATTACTTACAGGCCGCCGTCATACAGCTGGAATATTGCTGGGTCGTATGATCTCGATTCTCATCATATCGATCACTGGATTGTCTGGTCCTGACTCGATTATTTACATTTACAGACCGCCGTCATTTGGAATATTGCTGAGTGCGGCGTTAGACAACAAACCAAACCAAACCAAACCAAACCACATCTGTCTATCGTATCTCATTTTCAAGTACATGAACGCCAACAAGATTTATATGTACTCTGCAAAAAGAAAAGAACAGATTATAATATAATCATGATATCTAGTGATTCGTTCGGTAAGGGAAAATGAAAGCAGACTACGTCCTAAAACTTAAACAAATAAGTCCAACCTTGATCGTTGAGTCAAGCCGGACACTGAAACTATCCTGGTGAGCGGTGGATTCTCAACGCCAGTAACGGGAACAGGGCTGCATTGCAACATATACACTGGAGCAAGGTAAAAGTAAATTCAGTTTTATTCCAAGAATATATGAAATAGAACAAATTGCGTTTACAAAAAGCATGGATATAACCCAGGAATATATATTGTTATGTTACAGATGCATGTATTTATTGTATCATTGCGTGATTCTCAAAGTTACTTCAGCGAGTGAAGATGCGCGTTATATTTTGTGTGGTATAACTTATATATTGAGTGATGGTGTACGATAAAGATGATTGTCCCTCTTGTTTGTTTCCACATGGATGATTAAAATTTGCGCGCGTTCGATTCCGTATGTACAAGTAAAATAGCTCTATATTGAAAACAGTCTAATAATGCTAAGAAAGAGGTGCCTTAAATATTTCTGTTGTTATGGAAGCGTGAAAGATTGTGAAAACAATTCCATTATCTTTCTTTTGCAGATCATCTTCGCAATGGATATACATTTTCCACGGTGTCATTATTGGACAACGATCCTCCTGCTATCTCTGTTTTTTCTGAACGGTGAGAGTTTTTCGTTAACTTATAAACTGGTATTAGTGATGGTGTATTAGGCGATACGGTTCCACTTTGGATAATCAGTACATAATGTAGCGGCCATAAAATGTCCGAGTCCCGTGATGGGATTCGAACCACGGACCTTCTGATCCGAGGTCGGACGCCTTGTCCACATGATCAAAGAGGTTAACCTCGTCAGCAAGATGACAAGGTAAGGATGACATCTGTAGGATGACTCCACGCCCTGCTACATACTCCCCCGTCAACAGAAGGCACGTCCCGGGCCGCATAGTAGGGTACTGAGGCTTATTTTGCTCAAATTTAATATGAACGTGCTCAGCCCCAAGTTGGGCGCCAATGTAGCGGCCATAAAATTTCCGAGTCCCGCGATGGGATTCGAACCACGGACCTTCTGATCCGAGGTCGGACGCCTTGTCCACATGACCAAAGAGGTTAACCCCGTCAGCAAGCTGACAAGGTAAGGGTGACATCTGTAGGATGACTCCACGCTCTGCTACAATAACATCAGGTACAGACTATTGCATCTGAAATATTATAAGGTTCCAAAACGAATCAATCACCAATTTCTGTCATATAATGCAGCTTGGGTCACGTCATCAAAACAATTAATAGTATCATCTATTTACATCGACATTGTCGACAATTGAGAATACAGATGAAAGACTTCTTCAAGAGGCTTTTAGAAGTTGGAGTACTAAGTAAGGATAAGATATATGGATGAACAACTTCTTTATTACAATTAGCAGCGACGTTTCAGTGTAGGTTCTAACACCGTTATCAAGCATCACCTCGTCATAGAACGGATACGCCACCACCGCAACACCAAGTCCTACACCCTAAATGGCATCACAAAGCTCCACAACTACCTCCAATCAGTTCTTACAGAAAACACCTACTCCACCCTCAGAAAGATCCCGACCAAAAGCAAGTGCCACAAAAAAGACTCGCATAACCAAGTTCAACAACCTCAAGAAACACACCCACAACCATCAACCTACAAACACATCTGCCATTGACGGTCATCAAGACGGCAAGACGGTCATCAACTTAAGCAGCAAGAACCACAACCAGCAACACATTGCAGTCCTGGCCAAAGGTCACTTGATAACGGTGTTAGAACCTACACCGAAACGTCGCTCCCAATTGTAATAAAGTAGTTGTTCATCCATATATCTTTTCCATACTCAGACGAAAGATTTCCACCGCAGGTTAGTGCAACTGTGTACAACATATACTGAAAGGATATTCATGATATTAACCGATAAAACTTATTTATGTTGTCTTCTAACATATGATACTAATTAAAACAATGTTCTTGGCGAGATAATACAGTAAGTCTCTTTAAGTCTTCCATTCCTCTCTAAAATATTAATAATTTGTTAATTGATTACAGTGCTATATTTTGTGCCTTTCTCAATCGACAGTTTCCCCTACAGGCACACATTGTACAAACTGTGACGGTAACACTGTGACCTGTGTTGATGGCGTGTGTCTACCTCGCTGTGTCAGTGTGACGTCATCTGGAAAGTGTCGGTGTCTGGACTCCAGGTTCTATGGTTACCAGTGTGAACATGACTGTCCAGACACCTGTTTCCACTCTCGCTGTCAGATGGACAACAGCCGTGCAGTGTGTACAGAGGGATGTGTGGCCGGCAAGAAGGGAGATAACTGTGACGTGAACTGTCCTACAGCCTGTACACAGTGTGAACGTTATGGTGGAGGTTGTACAGGACCGTGTAAGAATCCTCGGTATTACGGTCCACACTGTAGAACATCTTGTTCCTCCAGCTGTACAGATGTATGTAATAGGATCACGGGGGAGTGTGGCAGCTGTGAGCCAGGTTACATGGGGGACAAGTGTGATGTTACCTGTCCCCCCAACTGTAGAGATGGATGTGATAAAGACACGGGGGAGTGTGGCAGCTGTGAGCCAGGTTACAGAGGGAAGTACTGTGACAGCTGTGAGCCAGGTTACACAGGGGACAAGTGCGATGTTACCTGTTCCTCCAACTGTAGAGATGGATGTGATAAGGACACGGGGGAGTGTGACAGCTGTGAGCCAGGTTACACAGGGGACAAGTGCGATGTTACCTGTTCCTCCAACTGTAGAGATGGATGTGATAAGGACACGGGGGAGTGTGGCAGCTGTGAGCCAGGTTACAGAGGGAAGTACTGTGACAGCTGTGAGCCAGGTTACAGAGGGAAGTACTGTAATGATTCATGTCCATCACAATGTACAGAATGCCAGCAGCACGGTGTGAACTGTATAGGACAATGTCACAGATGGAACTACCACGGAACTGATTGTACTCTTCAGTGCCCGGTACAATGTCGTGGATGCGTCAAGGAGACAGGATTGTGTGCACAGTGTGCTGAACAGCACTGCCGGGCTGGATGCGGTGATCAGTGCACACCTTGTAAAGGAGAAGACTGCCATAGTCCAACATGTAAAATGATATGTCCTGCAAACTGCGTCGAGTTTCACTTTTTCAGTAAGACATGTAATACACCATGTATCAACAAGAACTACTTTGGACAGGCTTGTAACATCCCCTGTTTTGATAAATGTGATACATGTGATAAAGACACTGGAAAATGTATAAGTTGTAGACTAGGATTGAGAGGAGAGTTGTGCGATGACACATGCCCTTCTAACTGTACACAGTGTGAGCGCTATGGGGACATATGTATTGGCGCATGCCCAAACAGTGGTTACTATGGACGCGACTGTTCGATCCAATGCCCTGTCAGCTGTGAAGGATGTCACAAGAAGACTGGTCTGTGTATGAAGTGTGCCGAGGGATTCAGCAGGACATACTGCGATGAAATATGTTCTCCGTGTTCAGAGAACACTTGTTACAGAACACCTTGTCGTAAACGTTAGTATCCTTGAACTTAAATCTTATACAGAAAGACCTAACTTTTGACAAATAAATAAATGCAATAACATATGTAGGGGAAAGTAAGCTGGTTATGACACTGGTGCCATTTTCTCTCGTATGGGACTCTTACGGTAACAATAATTTATTATTACTTTTCACCGAAATAATCATGCTTTTTTGTCAGGTCAAACTGACCACACCGTGGCCATCACTACTGGAACAGTTGCTGTCGTCATTGTGCTTGCAATGATAATTGCGTTTTGGAGACACACGCAGAAGGGGTTAGTGTTACTTGAAAACAAGTTGCGGTCGGTACACTATTACTGTGTGAACACATGGTCAAGGTGAAATCTGACTTTTAGAAATTGTCCCTAGGAATTATGTAACATGCATTTCGCGATTCGAGGAAGTACTCAGTAAGAAACGTATTTATTCGACACAAGTATACCCAACTACATCGAACGTATTCTCACAAATCTTTGACGTATTTGAACAAAACACATCATGCCACCTTATATTGTCATGCTTCTTAAACGGTACTGCAACAATTTATGGTACAGTACCGTTTTTCGTATATTATCGTCTAAAACTAAAACATCATTTCATTTTATTTCAGGAACAGAACCCACGCTAGCGGCACAAACGGCACCACCCACAGCGAGTACAGTGACAGCCTGGCACACAGGTACTGGGAAATAGGTGATCATTACGAGTCTGGTCAGACAAGTCCCCCGCAACCTGAACATGCAGTTCAACCTGCATTACCTCTCACAAATATCCCCCACAGAAGACTTGCAACAAGGAACCTTTTGACAGATGGCCAGCAATGTCAAAGAAAATCGTCTTCTTTGTCAGAGACAAGAGCAGTGAGTGAACCCGAACTGACAGCTCCGGATGCTGATGTGGGTGGTGGTGTTGTTAGAGCCTCGTCCTTGCTGTTGTTGGGAGGAACATCAGCTGGGAGTGACAATGAGTCACAGTATCAGAGTCGTCAGGAAGTAGGTGACGCTGATATGGTTATGTCCGAACAAATCGAGCGATTGACCAGAAAGACTCCTTCAATTATATTTATTGAAGAACATTGTGATCTGTCACATGTATTTGTGAAATATCTTGCCACAAACAAAGTTGAGGATAAAAGTTCACCTTAATTGTAAATGATATTACAAAGGATATCATAACACTAAATATTTGAATATTGTTTAGTTAAAGCGGAAATTTGACAAAAAGAAGTGAAGTATTCACGCTATCAAAGTTTGAATCAAGAAACCATTTTGAACATTAAAATATCTTCAATGTGGATTCTTACTCTCAGACTAACCACTGCTTATTCTCTTTAACGTTGATATTCATATCTACTTTCATTTGTTTATGTTCCGGTTCCGGTACCTCGTGCTTATCAGCGCCAAAAAATGGGATCATTCGCGACGTGATGAATCTGGTCGATTGTGTGTCATCGTTCAGAAGTTCAATCACTGGTCGTTGAAATATTGCTGTGGCCAAAAGTGGTTACTTTCCCCAAATCATTTTTTATCAAACACGTGTTTAGTTTTCAGGAAATATTCTAAAATGTAAAGTTATTCCATGTCATGAATATTATGGTTGTCATTATGTTGCAATAGGTTATGTTTTGATTTTCATGTAAATAATCCTCCAAATGCTCACAATTCAAATATTATAGTTCCATTGTTTGTTTTTACTGATGAGTATCAATAAAGTTTAACGATGAAACACTTTTTATTCTTTGTCAAATACTCACTTTCATAGTCACATTAAGCCTCGGTTCTTAATCATTAACCTCGTTGTAAGGATCTTACTTCCTGGATGCACATATACTCATGGCAAATATTTTACCTAGATAAATGTTATGATATCGAAACCATATTTTAAATAAATAAAAGTCAAATTTTCGCCTGAGACCAACCAGCCTTCACTTACATGCAAGCTTAATCATATGTCATGTAAATTTAGGGTTGTCTCTAGTGTTAGATTCGGATCGACACAAGATACTCGACAGTGACATGCAACCTGCTGATATTTAACATGAAAACATTCAACATGGGAGAGTATGTTGTATTCCTAAACATATCTAAATTTCACAAAGGCATTTGAAATAAAAAAAAGCGTTACATTAAAGAAAGCTGTACCAAGAATTCATCTTGATTGTAATAGATTTTGAAGTTTACGGTGAGCATATATTATCACAGATTCTTCTTTACAAGCAACGTCCTCCCTATGAGTCAGGAAATTAACTTTCCTTCTATTGTGGAAGTAGCGATAGTTTCAGAGCCTTTCACCAAACAAATACAATTATTCACTATAAACGTATTTACGATATCTCCTAGACTTCCAGCTCGCGCCTCTTTGGGACGAGTGAGTGAGTGAGTGAGTGAGTTTAATTTTACGCCGCTTTTAGCAATATTCCAGCAATATCACGGCGGGGGACACCGGAAATGGGCTTCACACATTGTACCCATGTCGGGAATCGAACCCTGGTCGTCGGCGTGACGAGCGAACGTTTTAACCACTAGGTTACCTGACCGCCATTGGGACGATGTTTACGTTAATGATACAATCAGTGTTAAACAACATCATTTGTAGACTACTTTTCACTCTTAGCATCCATGAATAAGAAACACATTCACGAATTATCATTCGAAGCCTATTGTTTGTTCGTTAATGTGTCTTAAACGTTCATTGTTAACATATACCATTTCTAATTCTGGGTAGACGTCAATAGCTGACACTGCTGACATTAAGCTATACTCACTTACTCACTCATTCCCCTTTCTCCTGTCAGCTGCACAACATATTTGATAGACTAATAAGGAGAGGATTAAGAAACAAAATGTATGAACATTGTTGGACGTACAGTCTCGTTATTGATGTGATGGGAAATTGGAGGGAATATTTCCTCATATTGTGACCAGTAGTAGATAAATCAATGTGCATGTGCTAAGACACAATATTATGTATTATAACACCGCATTAAGACAAAAAGGAAATCATATCTTAATTAAGACATATATCATTACAAACTGTCTGACCCATGTGAGAACCATCTCATCGGGAGGAATTTGTTCGCATGAAATGTTACCTTATGTAACTTGCAATATAGTATATCTGTCCATTTCACTCTTCATTCATGCACGATAATGAACAATATATTTGTTTGGTGTAAATGATTTGACAATCTGACACCAGTTTCAGCATAAAACCTATGCTATAACATATTACCAAACCACGAGACCTTATGTAATGCGTGAGTGACTGAGTCTTACTTACACATGCTATAAGCAATATCTATGTAGTATGCTTGCGGTAAGTTACTTAAGAATTGACTTATCAAAATGAATGATGGATATCGAATGATGTAGATTTGTACACAATTTTAATTAAATTAGTACGTGTGGCTTCATCTTTACACTGACAGCCATACAACGACCAGCTGTATTGTGGAATGAAGTAGTTCCACAAGAGAAGAGGTGATATGAGCGTATGTATGTTCACATTGTTTTTCAGTGACATCTTGTATAGTTTTCATATTTTCATCATTGGATGAGAAAGGTATGTTAGTAAATCAGTCACAATGACAGCGCGTCGTAATACATTTACATAAAGTACAAAGGATATCAATACGATAAACATGACGGGAGAGTTTCCAAAGTTGTTAATGAGTGAGTGAATGAGTGAGGTTTTACGCTGCTTTTAGCAATATTCCAGCAATATCACGGCGGGGGACACCAGAAATGGGCTTCAGACATTGTACCCATGTAGGGACTCGAACCCAGGTCTTCGGCGTGACGAGCGAACGCTTTAACCACTAGGCTACCAGACCGCCCCAGTTGTTAATGAACCTGTGGCAATCACAAGTGTTCGTCATCATTGATCAGTTGGCCGTAATTGTAGAGATGTGTCAAATAGAAAGCTGTATTCATAGATTGTTGTCACTGTTAGTCTAGACACGGAAAGAGTCGATACTACGATAGTTTGGATGTATATTTCTTCGTTTTGTTCACTAGGATGGGTCGCAGCAATGATATTCGTAACCTTCCTGTGGTTTCCCCAGGAATGTGAAAAAAGCCTCGTGAAAAAAGTATGAACGTCAAATTTTGTCGTTCATATACTTATGAATTTGCCGGACCTCTCGTCCAACAGAAAAGCCGTATATTTTGTAATCTTCACGTTATTTAATTATTATCCAATTCAGCCATGATACTGTGATTGTTTACATACATGTCCGTCGTCAAAATCGGGCACGTTTTATTGGCTGGATGTCACACAGTAAATACCTGTCATGCGTAACGTAGACACGTCATCATTCATTGTTTATCACACATCCATTTTAGATTAGGTTTGAACAATTTAGTATGTAATACGGGTAGTTTTTCCTCAGTTAAAAAAAATATGCGTTTTTGTCCTTTTTGTCCCACATTTATTGAAAACGAATACCATTTTATACTTATCTGTCCATGTTATGAATCGCTCAGAACAAAATATTTCGAGGGTTTACCCAAAAACATCAATACACTTATCAAGCTCCTTCGTTTGATGAAATATCTAACGAGCAACAAAATAATACTGTCCTATACATTAATTATGGTTTACGACTTCGCAACCGTCTTTTTACAAATGATGTTTAATTATTCTTGAGGTTATTTGCCTTTATTAATCAAATGCTTTAATCTCCTCTTGTGTTGTGATGCGATTTATTTTTCACAAAATTGTACACGTGCACATCTCTGTGGATATAAGTCTGCATGTTTATACTTGTACAAAATTGTATATATATATAATATTATTGTATGTATATGGGCCTATAGCCTGAATACAATAAATGATGATGATGATTTGAGTGAATAGAATGGCTTTTAAAACAATTCTATATGTGTCCAACATCTTATCATGCACGGAACAGAAACAGAGGCACACGAGTGGTTGCTGTATAGTCAGCCAGTAGATTACTCATACAACTGACATGCACATTATGACTTCTCCCGTC